ATTAACTAGCTTAGACATTATCATGGTTGTCTGATCCTTAGAATCCTCTAGAGAAGATATTTTAGCTTCAAACTTCTTTAGGAGACTCACTAAGAACTTATTCATTATTCTTCTTTCAAACAAATCCTTACCAAGCAGCTTTAATTGATTCACCACTTCCATAACTTTATCTGAGTAATTTTTCATCGTTTCTTCATCTTTCATTTTGAGCACTTCAAACTCTTTTAATAGATTCAAGACTTGTATTTGTCTTGTTCTATCACTGCCATGAAACTCCTCTTTTAGCTTATCTCAAGCTTCCATTATACTTGTAAAGATTGAATCTGAGACAATTGAGTGTATACAAGACAAAGCTTTATACCTCTTAGCTACTTTTTTGCTATGCTACTTTATCTGGGCAAATGTTAGATTGGCATGTCTCTAAACAAAGACCTCACCTCCCACTTCCACAACTTCCCACAAATCGAAAGCCTTTAAGTAAAACATTTATCTTCACTACCCATATAAGGTAGTTTTTTCTAATAAAAATTAAAGGAGCAGTAGCACTATAGCCAATAAAGGGCATTTTTTTGTTTGACTTTTTGGTTACAAACAAAGAAGAAAGAAGAACTATGGAGATAAGGTTCTTTTGGAAAAACAAATAAGTTTCTCACTATCCTTCAAGATAGATAATAAAGCTTTGATACCATGTTGAAGTATTAGTATTCTTTTAAGAAGAAAATAAAAAACTTAAAGCTTGAAAGAAAGAATTACATCGAGCCATAAAGAAGAGAGGGTTGGAGGTATAAGATAATATTAATTGCAACAATTTTCCTACAGCACATATATGTCAAACATATGAAGAAGGAAAACTAAAATAAAATTGACCAGTCCTAGCACTACTATGTTAGTTTGTCTAGCACACTAAGACAAATACACTCATTGTTAGAATACTGAATAGGAAAATACTGAAAAGGCTTCAAGGAACAATGTTACTTTCCTTAAGGTTTTATTCACCCCCAATTATAGTGTGCAAAAGAATTATCAACGTATAAACCTCAAAGATACAATAAACCCAATGATTAATGGCATTTTGCACTGATGAAATCAATCCACTAAGTACTCATTGGAGTATGACAAGGTGATCAAACTTCTATAAGATTTTTCTGTAACAAAATGATATAGAAGAAAACTTAGAGAATATGGAGAATAAAGGAGCGGTTGTTGTTTTATTGTTTTCTATACGTTCTATTGTTTCAAAAGAGAGTCTTTTATAGGCATAAGTGCTGATTCTCAATAGATATGATTGTGTCTGTTTCAAACAATCATAACAGTTGGTCTTTTTTCGACAAACATGACTTTATTTTTAATTTCTTATATCTAACAAACATGACTCTTTTTTTGTTTTCTAATTTTCAATAATCATAACTTTTATATGCTAATATGGGATTATATCTCATATTTATTTGAAATCTCCAACAATCTCTCACCATTTTCAAATTAATTCAAATTTTCGATAAACTTGCAAATCAATTGCATAAACGAAGATGTCTTCTGATTGAACCTTCACTTAGTAAAAACATATTAAAGTTAACCCAAATTGCATGATAGACTATGCTTTGAACTAGCTATTCCATTTCGTTAATTAAACACATCTCACACAACGATTTCAACACCAATGAATGCATAGTTTTCGACGACGCTTTTATGGCCATGTGTTTGCATCCTCTTTTCGTGAATACTGTTAGAGCCAAGCTCTTGAGTTGCTAAAAGCAATCACACTTCACACTCTCATAGGTAGATCCCATCGAGAATGCCTCCATAACTAAAGCATTTTAACATATTTATGTTATGGTTTTATTACGAGTACGTAGCACATTACTTGGGATGAAATATAACACATCATACTATAGTGCTAGCAACTACATACAAATAGTATATTTTGTCTCATTGAACTCAAGACTTGACATTATACTAAGTGTTAAGTCGAGTTTTCACCATATGTGATTTTCAATTTATGAGCTTGAGCCTTATCCCCTTTAAGATCTTATTTACAAGATCTCTAGCAAGACTTTTGGTTAAACGATTTGTTAAGTTTTGGCTAGACCTCACAAAAATTATGGTGATCACTCAATCTTAAATTAATTATCAAACATAGCTATGTATTAATTCAATCTGTTTAGATTCTTCATTGTACTCTTGGTTATATGTTTTTGCTAGTGTTGTTTCACTATCACAATGGATAGAAATTGGAAAGATTGTTTTAGGCCATAAAAGTACACCATAAAGTATATATCTTAGCCATTCCACTTCTTCGGTGGTAGTAGCTAATGCAATGAATTCAAGTACCATGATAGAATTTGTTATACACATTTTTTTCTTCTCAAACCCTCAAGAAATGGCACCTTTACCAAACATGAAGATCCATCCACTTGTGGAAGCAAGATTTTTAAGTACCTTAATACTCTATTCAACTTTCCAATAGTAAATGGTATATCTGGCATTCTACATGTCATTACATACATTAAGCAACCAATCACTCTTGTGTATTATAATTGATCAATATCGCTACCAACATTAATTATTAATTTAATTTGAAGATCTATGGGTGTAGATGTTGGTATACAATTACTAGGATCAAACTTTTTAAGCCCTTTTTAAATGTAGTGCAATTGTAACAAGTTATACCATTTTCATCTTGGAATATTTTGATTCCTAAGATGACATCCGTTGCACCTATATCTTTCATTACAAAATTATTTGACAAAATTTTCTTTGTTTCCTCAACTTATTCCAAATCTGTGTGACAATTGCTATGTCATCTACACATAAGCAAATTATAACACCTTTGCTACTTGGGAATATGTTATATATGTACTTATCAGATTCCTTTATGTTGCAGCCATTGGCTAAAACGACCTCATCAAATTATGATGTCACTGTTTTGATACTTGTTTAAACCCATACAATGTTTTGATACGCTTACAAACGTAAAGCTCTTGTCTAAAAACAATAAAAGAATCAATGCAATGAATGATCACAAAGCTACTATTGTATTACATCTCCAAATTAATGTCCCATGGACATATGACTCTTTACAATTTTTTTTCTTTATTTTGAAGGGATCCCCTACAATAAAGTCACATATCTCAAATGTTATATCATATCATTCCAGTAGTGGTCACATATCTCACGTATCTTTTTGTCTTTTTTTTCTTTCTCTGGAAAAGTATATAATAAATTTTCATTAAAGTCATACTTTGCAAATATTCAATTCTCTATATGTCTGGTTTTCTACACCCACAAAGAGAATTTTTCTAGTTCTCAAATCACTATGAAGCATAAATTGGAAGAGCAGCAATGAAAAATTGAAAAGCCTATACATGTTAACAAGCAAAGCACAAGGTGCATGGAAAGTGTCCCAAGTTAAAACTACCTATGACGGAAGCGAACAATCCTATTCACATAAAGCTTTTTCTTTTTTTTATTTTAATGCTTAGTCATCCATAAATCAAAATCATAAGATCTTGATTGTTTCCTCTTGAGAAATTATTTGTATAGTCGACGTTATCAAACACTGTACATAACAATAATACTAGATATTCAATTTTCATTATTTCTTCAAAAATCAAATCAAATAAATAATGACTTGTTTTGTTGAGATTATCCTTGTTGAAGTCTCACAATTTGAGTTCTTACTAGAAAAGGAATAAGAATGATGACAACAGTTACCATGGCAAAGGCCTAAAACCCCAAAACCAAGTATATATATTGAACAGAAAAATTGAAAAAGAAACAATAAATTTCCCCAAAATTAACTTTCCTCAGTTTTTCCTATTACAAAATAGTTATGGCAACACGTTACCCAACTTAGATAAAGACACCAATTTATCTTTTTTTTTTCTTTTTCTGCTTAAAAAGGTTTGTGTGCCAAGATTTTTCTCTAAAATTTCTTTGATCATACACCATTAGAAATTCTTGAGACTGCTAATAACTAATCTTTCAAAATAGATATTGTTAGGACAATTCATGCAAATCAAATCAATTAAGGAAAGAAAGCTTATCTGGTAATATGGTGAAAAACCATTTTGCTATTTTCTTTGTCAACGTCAATCTGATCCAATTTCACAAAAATTAGAAGCCAATTCTCTTAGTATTCTACATGCAATAGTCATTACTAAAATGAAGTAAAACCTTAAGATTGTTAGAACATTGAATTGGAAAATACTGAAAACGTTTCAAGACATGTAACAATGTCACTTTCCTTGAGGTTTTATTCGCCGCCACTTGTTGCATTCAGAAGAGGTATCAATGTATAAACTTTGAAGATACAATAAAATTCAATTATTGATGGCATTTTGCACTAACAAAATCAATCCACTGAGCTTTCACCGAACTATAACAAAATTATCAAACTTATATAAGATTTTTCTACAGTAAAATGATATATAAGAAAATTTAGAAAATATAGAGAAAAAGGAGAGATTGTTGTTCTATTGTTTTCTGTATGTTCTATTGTACCAAAGGAGAGTCCTTTATAGGCATAAGCGCCTATTCCCAACAGACATAGTTGTATTTGTTTCAAACAATTGCAATTGTTGATCTTTTTCCTACAAACTTGACTCTTTTTTAATTTCTTGTATCCAACAAACATGACTCTTATTTTATATTCTAATTTCTAAGAGTCTTTTACTCCAATATAGAATTGTGTCCCATATTTATTTGAAATATCAAATACTCACAACACCTGACCATAATAGAAAAAAAAAAACCAACCTAAACAGAAAATATTAAAGCACATGAGCATGTGGTCATCTTCGTCATAGCTTCATTTTAAATTTGACGCCATCTATTGCGACCCAGACCCCAACTCCATTACTTTCTCTAAATCTATTCCAAAAAGGAAAAACGCATTAATTACATAAAAGAGTTGAATTAGCATTTATCCTTGTTTCCATACCAATTGTTCCGCATAAAGTAGTTTGTAATCAATTGTTGTATCTGTTTACGCATATATTCAGTTATTACTGGCTTGATTGTGATGAGGAAGAGGAGGGTGGCAATGGAGGTATTTACTCCAAAGCTAATGAAGTTGTGGAAGGATTGGGAGCTTCGAGCAATGGTTGTAACTAGCCTTCTGGTCCAAATAATTCTCATTGTGTTAGGCGGTCGTAGAAAGTACATTCCCAAGATAAGGATTAGAGCCATTGTTTGGTGTTCCTACTTGTTGGCTGACTCTGTAGCAACTATTGCCCTTGGCATACTAACAAATAACCTGGGAGATATATATGATGAGGGAGGTGTTGTTGACTTAAATACAAAGCTGACAGCATTTTGGGCACCTTTCTTACTGCTGCACTTGGGTGGCCCTGATACAATCACAGCATATGCCTTGGAAGACAATCAGTTGTGGTTAAGGCACTTCTTCGGACTAATAGTGCAGACAGTTGTGACAATATACATCTTCCTGATGGCCTGGTCGGGTAGCCGTCTTTCATTGCTAAGCATTCCAATGATTGTGGTTGGATCAATTAAGTATGGAGAGAGGACATGGACTCTTTGGAAAGCAAGCAATGACGAACTTCGAGACTCGATGCTCACTTCTCCGGATCCCGGTCCTAATTATTCCAAGTTGATGGACGAATACAGGCTGAAACAAGCTGAAGGTTTTTTTGTGGAAATAGAAGAGGTGAAGGATGTTCAGGAAGAATTGGATGTAACTGCCCAGGCGGGAACCACTCCTGATGGGCGGAATATAATTAAAGCCAATGCCTTGTTTCAAACATTCAAGTGTCTGTTTGCAGATCTCATTCTAAGCTTTAAAGATAGGGAGAAGAGCCAATCTTTGTTTGAGCAAATGTCTGATAAAGATGCCTTTGATGTGGTCGCCATCGAACTAGGATTCATGTATGACATGTTATACACCAAAGCAACAGTAGTTTATACTCGTTGGGGTTTTGCTCGCCGTATCACTACTTTTTGTCTCACTTGCCTGGTGTTGGTGATTCTCTCTCTTGAGGATTTGAAGGAGTATAAAAAGGTTGACATATTCATAACTTTTCTTCTCCTTGTTGTTGCTATTGTTCTGGAGATATATGCAGCACTAGTACTACTTTTCTCCGACCAGACCTATCATTGGTTGATTAAGCATAGCAAAACCACGGTTCTGAAACTCATCAATTCTTTAGCACCATCTTTTACACTAAAAAGGTGGTCTAGTCGCATGGCACAGTTTAGTCTACTTAGCATCTGCCTCAAGGAAAAGCCTTATCTTAAACTACTGGAAAAGGTAGTGGAAAGATACCCACCTGAAACTTACGTAGAAGTCGATGATCATCTCAAAAAGCTGATTTTCAAGCATGTCAAAGAGAAATTTGATCAGTTTAAGGAGAAACAAGGTGATGCTAATTTTAGAGACTTGTGCAGTCAAAGAGGAAACAACATACTTGATAGGTATAAGCGGCAAACTGGCCTTAGCCTCGAGTGGAGTATTAATGTTGAATTCGACCAGAGTATCCTTGTTTGGCACATTGCCACAGAGCTCTGCTACTACTCAGAGACGCCTGTGAGTACCATTTCAAGCGATGTTCAATCATCCCGAGATGTGAGCCAGTGCATCTCAAAATATATGTTCTGTCTACTAGTCATCTATCCTTTCTTGTTGCCCATTGGGATTGGACTTATCAGGTTCCGAGACACTCAGGCTGACACCAAGAGGTTTTTCAAAGAGAGATTAACCTCTCCTAGAAATGAGAAAAAGAATAGGACTAAATGTAGGAATATGTTGCGTCAAGTTAGTGAGTTAGAAGAACAAAATGACAAAACGAATAGAGCTACATGTTGCAATTCATTGCTTAGAGCCATGAAGTTAGAACGAATGACCTATTCCAATGAAGAACCAACGATGTACCAAATGATTACAGCCTGCAACATGTTGCTTGCAGAAAACATAGATGTTCTGCCGGGGAAATTGAAAGGGGATAGCAGCAAGTCCGTGTTGTTCGATGCGTGCAGGCTGGCATCAGCATTGAATGGTGTAATAGACAAAAAGGTTAGATGGGATATGATCAGAGATGTTTGGCTGGAGATGCTAGCTTATGCTGCTAGTCACAGCAGAGGGAGTCAGCACTGTCAACAGCTGAGACGAGGTGGTGAGCTTCTAACTCACGTTTGGCTTCTAATGGCCCATTTTGGCATGAGCGAGCAGTTCCAAATATCCAAAGGTTATGCAAGAGCTTTGCTGACAGCAAAATAAACCCAGACCAATCTCAATGTACATCTCATATTCCCATTAGTCCTTTGAATTTAGAACTGACAAATTCTTAGCATTGCTTTATTGTTTTTACATTATTTACTACAACGTTTGTATGAAGGTGGTGGATGTGGTTAGATGTCGGTACTTGTCCTTGTAAAAGAATGAATAACACCAAAACCTAACATTTATTTCAAGAGTTTGCCAACTGCTATTAACCATTGCTTAGAATGAAAGAAACAAAGAAACAATACTCTCATCGTCATCTTCTAATTGCTTTAACTTCTGGTGTTTTTATTAACTTTAAATCAAGGCAGAGATGGTGTTCATTAACTTTATATCGATCCAGAGTACCCAAAATGCATTGAATGGCCTGACTCTGAAATTCCCAATAAAACAACTTTAAGCAATTTAAAGTGAATTTGAGTTTGTTTGCCTTAAACCGAATTTATCCACTGGAGCATCTTAATAGCATTGGGCTGGCATTCCAATATGGACCAATTACCTAAGATTTAAGGCATTGGGTTATTTGAGGTACGTTTCATATTCAATGAATTTCTGAGTTTGGTACAAGCCCATCTTTGTAGATAAATGAAACGTTATTACATTGATGAGTGATGAGTCTTTCTTTTGCAACAATTTCGTTTTTCTTTTCTGGGGTAGGTGCCATATTAGTTTTATGCAGCTGCCAATGACTTTATGTCTTTTTTTCATTTCTTTTTCTTTCTTCCGTTAATCTATTTCTTAATATATATTGGTATGGCATAGTGTTTTAATAATGAAAACCTTAGAGTGGTATTGACAAGTTGCATTCTTATATTAACCATTAATTTTGTTAGACTAATTTATGACATCTACTTCAATAATTTTGTTAAGAGTTGGGGCTCTCTTAATCTTAATGAAAACTGCTCTCTCCAATGCAACCTGATGTTGTTTAATTTTTCCACACAGATTTTCTTTATTTATGATTGAATTGGCAATTTAATAATTTATGCGTGAAGGAAAAGATCTAAGAAATTTGTTGCACCTGTGGCTGCAAAAGCAAGGATTAGTTGGATTTGAATGGCCTATCAAAGCCTGAGTTTTCCAGCAATTTCAGACTGTTAACCACCCAAAATTCCCTTTCTTCTAGTAAATATTTTGGCATTGAGTGAAGGTTTAAATTAAATAGCTAATCAAAGCCACAAGTTTTAACCACAATTTCATTATATATTAATTTGTTTATCTTGAGGATGAATGATATGACATATGAGTTAATGAATTAAGAAGTTCAACCTGATAGGATTTTGTTTGTCACGGTTCACTCTTGCAGGTTAGTCACCAAAGGACTCCAATGTTCCCTTGGTACAGTCTGCCCCACTACCATGCAAAGGTAGTTTTTGTATATTCATCTTTTGAGTAATGAAACCATACAAATTGCTTCTCAAAAAAAAAAAAAAAAAAGAATCAACTGGTAACAAGAGCTTTTAATTCTAGTTGGTGTTGGTATGACAATTTTAAAACTAAAAAAAAAATCACATACTTTACAAAACCTAATCAATTAACTAATGTTGGATTTCATGGGACAACAACTTAATCAATACTTGTCCTTCAAGTTTTCTTTCGTTCTATTAATTACTTATTTGAATTGAATTGAGAAGAACAACGGTGCAAGATTTTTCAAGTAACGGTTGGTGATGTAATGATTATGTATAAAAATAAATTTATAAAATGAAAAGGAAATTATATTAGTGTTGTAGCTAGCTTTTTTTAAAAAAAAAAACAAAGGTAGAATATTGTTAAAAAAGGAAGAGAAAATCCTCCAAAAAATATGAACAACAGGAGCAGGAGACAGAAGCCAATGTCATAAACAAAGACAAAGGCCTCCAGTCACGACAGAAAAGCTCCAAAAACTCAACATAAAAAAGCACAAAATAACCGAGGCAACAGCCCACAAAAATCACGAGCAGGTAGCTCGCAAGCCATCCACTATTTCTTTTTCCTTCATAATTTATATTGGTATGTCATAGTGTTTTAATTTTGAAAACTTATGGGTAGCCTTTCTTTATAATTGCCGATTATCATGACTCATGGGCTCATGGCATATGAGGTATGTTTTTGTTAGTATTTAATTAAATTATAAGTCTTTCTTTATAATTGATGATTGGTAAAATTTGAAATTTTAGCGTGTAATTATGATTTGAAAGTGTGAGTGAAGTACAGCTCAATTCTTCCATGGCATCATTATTTGACAAGTTGCATTATTCTATTAACTATTAATGTTGTTAGAGTGGTTATCTAGTTCAAGGATTGATAAAGGGAAAAGGGCAACATTAGATATCAATATGAATTTAGTCATTGGAACTTTAAATATTGCAATTGCTTCCGGTCAAGCTATCTCATTTGTTGCCACTCTATTGCAGCCACCTAATTTGCCTTTCGTCAGTTTCTATAATTTAAACAATGAAAACTTAAGTTGAGTCCTTCTTAATAATTTGTGTGTGTTTTTTTAATGAAATGACAAAAGCAAGTCTTTCTTTGTAATTGATGATCGGCAAAGACACCGTGATAAGTTCGCTGTCTTGACTTTCTATAAGCTTATGGGATCTTGGCAATGATATAAAAAAAAAATTTAACAAAACCAAAAACAACAAGGATGACAACAGATCACATGATCATTAAAAAACGAGCATAGAAGGGCAAAATTAGTCCTGTTTTCGATGGCAAAAAAACTTGTGAAAGCAGTCAAACTCCTGGAGCGACGTTGGCTTTATCTTCCATTCATTTATTTAATTAATAATTTCAAGATTACTTTGGACGCAAATTGGCCCGACTGCGGCTCTCATGCGGGAAAAGGGTTGGCAAAATCGGAGCCACCGCAATCTAAAGTGATTCAGTGATTACCGAAGTCAAATTTTTTCTTAAATTATGTGAAAATCAAATGAAAGCAATAACATGAAATATAAAGAACATAAAAATATACACGACGCAGCCTACCATGTGGATTGATAAGGAATTAAATAAAATATTTCCATAATTATATACATTAAGGGTCATATATCTATCTATCTTTAATTTATAATCACATATACAATACGTACATAAATTAGAAATGTTTGTAAAATTTTTTTTGAAATAAAGAATTTACAATCTATTATCTTTCTAAATTGCCTTTAGATTATATTTATAAGATAATTTTTAATTTTAATTAATTGATAGAGTTTTTTTTTTTTTGAAAAATTGTCTTCCTTATGGTTCTAATTTAGAATAGATACCATTTAAATAAAAGTTAATCTATTCGAGGTTTAACCAAAACAAAAACCAATAAATAAAAATCTGGATAAGATGGTTATTATTACCTTCAAGATACAACAATAAATTTCAAAAATAAAATGAGTACACAAAAAATAAGGCTAAATTTTAAAAATACAATTCAAAGACAATGTGTTATTAAAAATAACTCTATCCATAATTTTAATTGTTGTTAGCTAAAAGAAAAGATTTTAGGACCAAATTGCTTTTAATGAAACATTCTCATATTCAAACACACGTATTGAGAAAAATATTCTTACTGTTGTAATGTGCAGGTCTACGAATCCACTAGACATGGAAAATTTTAAGGGTGTGGGAGCCGTCACCAATTTTTTTTAATTAGCTGCGATTGACCATCTATTAAATTCGTTCTTCTTAACGAAGTCCTAAATTGATTTTGAGTTCGTCTAAAGAAAAAAACTCAGTCTACTATTTCAAAATTAGAGTTCAGGAATACAGTTATGCACGAAAAAATATTAACACCCTGTAACGCCTGTTCTATAAACGATTGCATCTAATCATGTGCTACCCTATTAGAGCCTTAATCTTTAAATTCATTTCTTTGTATTCCCTTAATCACCACTCATTCACTTTGTTAACAGGTTACAATTTATTATTGCATCGTGCAAATGATGCAGTCGTGAAATGTATGGCATAAACTTTAGCAACAGGTCAAATGAGAACCTTTTATTGAGGTTGTTCTCTGGATCTGCCTATCACACCGGTCGAATCCAGAGATAACCGCTCAACAAGGAGATCGCTCGAGAAAGCTTGCATTCGTGAGTTTATCGAGTAAATCTCATCATCGGGATAATCATTCGTGTTTTAAAAATAATATTTTTCGTGAATGCATACCATAATATGAGTGAAGTTTTTATTAAAGACATTCTTTGAACTCTCATATACTAGTGGGGTTCAAATGTGCCTGTTTAATTAGAAAATTTTTCAAAGAAACTAACCTTCGCAAGTCCTCTAAAAAAGTCCCATCATTGGGGCTTTGACTTTTGTATATAATACATTTATGTGCCTTAACATTTAACGATGTAGTCATGAAACGTGATGTGCTCTTAAATTTCAATATTTGTTTCTTAACTTTCTTACAACTCTTTTGTTATTTCTTTAAAACTTTCCTTTTTTATTGTTTTCCTTGGTATGTATGTATGTATACCATGAATAAATATTTTATTTATTATTTTTATCTAAATATATATTTTTTATTTTACTATTTTTTTGTATTTAAGTATTTATCTATTGAACTATATATAAATTTTCCTTTTACCTAAATACTATGTTTTTTTTTAGACCAAACATCTTGTTTTATAATTACTATTATTAATGCATATTTGTTATAACTCAATTTCTTTCCTACCATTTTTTTTAATTACCTAACTTATTTGCTTTTGGAATAACTATTATGTTTCATTTTTTATCTTCTCTCAAAAATCTATTTTTTATAATTAAATATTTGTTTTTTATATTTTAGTTATATTCATTATTATTATGAATTTACCATCTTTGAAAATTTTATTTTTTTACTATTTATGAAAATCTTTCTTCTTCACAATACTATATATATATATATATATATATATATTTTTAAACCTTGAATATATTTATGCCATTTATTCCCTTATGTTTATTATTGTTACTATTATAATAATAAAAATAATAATATAATATTTATTATTATTATAATTACTTCATTATTTCTT